CGAGCCCCTGCCGACTTATCAAAAGAGCTGATATGGCACTTTCGCCCCCGGTGCCAGTTTTTATGCCTTGTTCTTGTTGAATACGGTGTCATAAAAAAACAGGCATAAAACCACAATGGAGGGCTGGGGGAGCAATGTAAACAATGTATGCGGCTAAAATATGCACGGCCGTTGGGAAGGGAATGCAAAATAGGGCAAAGCTTGTGCGGGCGTACCTAACGAAGTGAATGCTGTCCTTACCTTGGCACGAGCTCGGCACGTCACTTGCCCATCGCCACCTTCCGCATCATAAAGCCATCATCCGTACTAAAAAGCACACAAAAAACTTATGCATTAGGTATATTTTATTGCATGTTGAACTCATATTATTTCAATTAGATTTACTCTATATTTATTTCATCTCAAGGCTCAAACTAACTTTTTCTTTGAGGAGCAGTTTTGCTCATCAATGACCTCATTGGCGTTGCAATATCCGAATTTTGAAGAGCAATTTTATTCCTGTTAATCCCCAGGAGCTGAAGAAAAGGTTTTATTAAACAATATAAATAACATAACACAACAGGGGAGTTGAATGCAGGGCTGCAGGTAAGAAATATTTTAGTATTTGGGGATTGAATAATCCCATATTCAGATAAAGAATACTTTTGTTTGCTGAAAGGGCTATTATGAATACAAAAGAGAAAATAAGACATTTGCCTTAATAACCAACCACCAAAAGAAACTCACTCCAGAACAATTTGTCTGAATTTCCATATATTTTTTTTTTAATCCGTCAAGAATATTACCGTGGGTGAGTTATTATTATGCAATTGGAGAAATGTCTGTGTGCATACTTTTCACAATGGTTAATCACTTACGGTTTTATTATTTGTTATGATTTATTTTTTTCATGATAAATATCATCAAGTGAAGAGTGACATGAATGACCATTTTCATCACCAAAATAAGAGAACAAAAGCGTTTGAAAATGTAAGCTATATTTGATCTTAATCAATGTTTTATCAATTACAGTGAACATTGAGATATTTTTCACTTATTCACTTATACTAATCCTCAAGAAGGGTTTTAAAGACTTTCATTTTCTCAAATTCACACTTTTTAAAAGAGATGACAAACAATAATTGTCAAAATATTTCGTGGAAAATATTAGAAAGCTCACTTGGAATGAGCCGATCAAAGTGTGATCGCTTCCGGCTCGTGTATGACAACGGCGGCAGCTCAG